GTTTCAAAGACTTTCGGTCCTGACCTCAGACTCATTTTTGGTCCCGTCTGGCTCTGACTCAGACTCGGTCTGCCCATCATGTCCTCCGTGCTTCTGTTTCCACTCGGTCCAGTGCTGCAGGAGTTTCTCTGAGGCTCCTCCTATCTGGTTACCTGCTGAACCGAGACTGGCGCGGGCGCTTTCTAGCAGGTCCAGAGTGTTGGTAATCTGAGCAATCGTACCATAGGCCGCGTCCCGGTAGTGACGTGCCCGATCCAAAGAGTGCTGAAGAGCTCGTTCCTGTACCTTAGCGGAGAGTCTCCCCAACCGGACAAAGTAGCTGGGGTTGTCTGAAGAGGTAGCTACCTCGCTGCTGGCAGGTTCGGCCACAGCAGCTGAAAGAGGCGAGTGCTAAATCAGATGTGTGACCCTGACATTACTAACAGAAATAGACTGTTAAAATATGTAGCATTTTCATTGCACAGGGTGTTGGGTATGTCATGACTGATGCAAACACTTCCCCCCCCCTCCCCATCTGTTTGAAGTTTTGCTGCTAAGAGCCACTACAGAGCCTCTGATCAGTTCTGTGCAAGCAAAAGGATATAAGGCTACATCACTGCTTTCATTAAAAGCCACTTTGATGGTTAAAGGAACAACTTCAACTGTGCTGCTGCCACAGTTGCAATTGTGCCACATAGCCATAATCAGAGACTGGGCTCTTTCACAGCTTCCACAGTGGAGTATGGCAGGTTGTCATGATAACATGACATCACGGTAGCAGGTGTCAAAGCTGCGAGTGCTGGAAATTGCAGGTACTTTTTGGGCCAAGTTAACAGAAGGGAAGTTCACTGAAATGCCCTGCCTCTCTATGAATAGCACCGACCATCCACGTGTTCAGTCACGGTGGTCGAATTCAACAGTCATGATGACCACCCCCCATTTCACCAGATTACCTCATCCTGCTTTTATGACTTTTATTTTTTGGGATAATCTCAATCATTTTTTTTTTTTTTTTTAATTAAACCTTTATCTGTCAAGACACATTCATATAATTCCACAACAGGCAAATGGGTTCATTATCACCCACTGTTTTTGATGAAGTGATTAGTACAGCTACTGACCCAGCTCCCTCTCAGTGATCGGTAGGTTCTGGTCGACCCAGTCCTCGGATCGGCCGAGGGCCAAGCCCATCCCACTGCTGACCATCTGGCCCATCCTGGTGCCCATGACTGTGTCGATTCCTCCGCTGACTGCTGCCCGGGTCAGCTCGACGCCACCCATCACAGCCCCCACCATGGCTTCTTTGGCCCCTGCCACAGACTGGTACACCCTTCCCACTGTGTCTGACACCACCTGAGGAAGTAGAGATAAGATAATTACCTTCTTTTGAAAACCAACGTGGTGCCGGAGCTCGATTTGGTGCAGACTCTGAGAAATTAAGAATAAATAAAATTCTGCCACGACTTTCTTCCTCTGAAATTACCCCAGTTTTTAAATCATTAATGCTAGATGATAAACTGTGCTCATGCTGCTGTAAAGAGTGCAACTACTCAGTTTGCATTAGTGCCAGCAGTGACAACACGTTAGTGGAAA